TGTGTGTGTGTGTGTGTGTGTGTGTGTGTGTGTGTGTGTGTGTGTGTGTGTATGTTTGCATGCGTGCTTTTCCCCCCAGTCCCATATTTAGTTGCTTTACAAAAAAAGGAGGGGATTGTTTTTAGAAGCGAAGATGTGTTTTTCTCCCTTCAAAGACCTATTTGAGGAGACACACAGTGCAGAAGATTTTGTAATCTCTGCCTGAATCCAGCAAGAAGCCTCTGCCACTACATTTGTTTGACTTGAAAAAGAACTAGCATCAAGCTACGTCAGGACTCTGTGTATCTGCGTCTTGGGAAGCTTCCGCCATGTTTTGTTTGCATGATGGAGTTTTTTCTTAGAATGTGACATTCCTTTTGGACTGTGGCTCGGATTGGGGAGAAGCCTAGGCCCCAGAACAGGCGAGGGCTGGAGGGCTCCTCCGGCTAAACGACTGTCTCCCGGGGGATGAGAGAGCTGTCCCCTGGAGTCTCTCTGAGGGACTGCTGGTGGCAGCTCATTAGGCGTTGGTGTTGGCCAACGTTCTACCAAGACCGTCCTGGGGCTCAAGTTTAAAGCAGACCTGGAAAAAGATGACCCCTGCAAAAGTTACTTTCAGAATAAGCGTAAGCAAACCCAGATAAGAAAGAAGTAGCCCAGGGAACTCAGCAATCTTTGGATAAATATGTAACTAAATTTTGGCAGGGTCCAGATCTGTGATTTCCCTGGTGAGGGAAACCCCTCCACAGACATGGGTTAGTGACTCATCTGTAAGGTAATGATTAGAGAACTAGATGCCTGAGACATTGAGAGATTCTATGACTTATGTAGGGTTATATGGCTACTCTAAGTCAGAGGCAGGGCTTGAGACCAGCTCTTCTGGACCCAAAATACAGCTCTCTAGCCTCTGCACCACACTGCTACTCTTACAAAAATAAGGATGAAAAGATGAAAATGGAAAAAAAAATTTCATGTAAAAATTAGAAGAGAGTAGCAATTTTTTATTAGTCATGAGGTGGGCAGAGAAAGAGGAAAGGGAAGATTGGGGATGGCACTGATTTTCTGGATATGTGTATGGGAAGGTTGGGCTCATGGATGTGAAATTTACAAATTCTAATCTTCATTTGTTTTACCTTAGATTGTTGTTCAGTTGTTTTCCAATTGTGTCTGACTCTTCATGGCCCCATTTGGAGTTCCCTTGGCACAGATACTGGAGTGGTTTGCCATTCCCTTCTCCAGTTCATTTTACAGATTAGGAAACTGAGGCAAACAGAATGAAATGATTTGCCCAGGGTCACACATCTAGGAAGGGTCTAAGGCTGGATTTGAACTCAGTAAATTTAGTCTTCCTGGTGCTAGCCAGGTGCTCTATCCACTGCACCACCTAGCTGCCCTTCACCTCTGGTAGAGTGTGACAAACCTGGGGCCCAGGGTAGTCCCCAAACAGAAGACTTCCTAAATGGGCTCCAATTGTTGCTGTTCTTAACAACTTGTACTACCACCATCTGCAAGGGCTTCTTCTCTAAAGACTCCAGAATCCATACCATTTTCTTATTTGTTCTTCCTAAGGAATTCCTCTTCCCTATCCCAACCCATGTGATCAGCTACTTTGAAGCTCAGGATTATTAGATGACAGTTGAGGCAACTGAGTACTGTGGAAAGAATGCTGTGGAATGAGAGGATCTGGGTTCGAATCTTCCCATCTCCCTTTTGGGATAGTTTGTCTCATTTCAGGCACCAGGGGAAGCTCTCCCAACCTCTCAGCTCCCTTAACTGAGTTCCTAAAGAAGTCAGGTCTTTTCTGTGTCTGGCATTGAAGGTGCTGTGGCTCTCCGTCCAGCTCCCCATCCAATATCGGAACCTGGATTCTGATCAGAGAGTCATAAATCAATCCAGGGCTGGCAGGGACCTCGGAGACCATTAGTCAATCTCTGGTTTTTACAGAAGAGGAGAACTGACTTGTCCAACATGGCACAGGCCATAAGCATCAGAGGAAGAATCGGAACCCAGGTCCCCTGACTACAGAGCTGGGGGTTATTCTACCATATCTACCTCACGCAGCCTCCCCTTCTCTCAGAAATCCCCTGAACAAGCTTCTCCTTCTTGCTCACTGACTATCCAGACCTCACTCAGGCCTCCTGAGCTGAGCTGGCTCTCAAAATATCTTCAGCCTCCTGTCTACAGTAAGTCCAGGCTCCGAGGTAGAAATCCAATCTTCTCTAAGCAGTTTCAAAGTTCTAAAGTTCTACCTTTCTTTCTTTCTTTCTGGTGAGGCAATTGGGGTTAAGTGGCTTGCCCAGGGTCACACAGCTATTAAGTGTGCCACCTATCTATGCCACCTGGCTGCCCCTGAGCTCTACCTTCTTAATATCACCATGCCTTCCCTTCCTTGAACATTCCCCTTTGTACATTCCAAGCTGACAACTCAATTTAATTAGATTGAATTCACTCAACTCAACTCAACTCATTTCAATTTAATTCAGTTTAACTCAACTCTCAGCTCAATTCAATTCAACTCAACTCAACTCGACTGAATTCAGCTCAATTCAACTGAATTCAGCTCAACTCAATTCAACTTAATTCAATTCCATTCAACTCAACTCAACTAAGTTCAGTTAAGTTCAACTCAATCAAACTCAATTCAATTCAGTAAAAATGCCAACAAAGGGGGCAGCTAGGTGGCACAGTAGATAGAACACCAACCCTGGATTCAGGAGGACCTGAGTTCAAATCCAGCCTCAGACACATAACATTTACTAACTGTGTGACCCTGAGCAAGTCACTTAACCCCATTGTCTACCGCCCCCCAAAAAAAGAATGCCAACAAAGCCCTTTATATGCTGGTTACTCTATTCTAGTCAGTGGGGGTACAAAGATGAAATTCTGCTTCTGAGATGTTTACATTCTACTAGGTACTCATTTTTGGCTGAAAATTCCCCCAAACCAGCACCTAAAATCTTAATGATTGACATTAGCCAGGCTGGAAAAATTCCCAAACCTTCATACAAGCATAGGGAGTGGGGTAGGAATGATGCCTAGATAATCCCCCGTGGAAAGACTGCTGGATTTGGAGTCAAAGGACCTGGCTTTGTATCCCAGCCTAGACACTCATTACCCATGTGACCTCAGGCAAGTTATTAACTTTTTCTGGGCCTCGGTTTCCTGATTTATAAGATGAGATGACTGGACTAGATGACCTTTAAGGTTCATTCCAGCTCTAAATCTGTGACCTTATGATTGAAAAAGTATTTTAATTTGCTGTATAAATGGTGGGAAAAAAAGCAACATAATCACCAAGAGAGTGAGGGAAGCAAGAGTCAGGGAGGCACCCTGGAACAGTGGATAGAGTGCTGGACTCAGAGCCAGGAAGATCTGCATTCAAATCCTGCCTCAGACCCTTACTAGCTGTATGACCCTGGGCAATGAACATCTCTCTGCTTCAGCTTTCACATCCATAAAATGGAGATGGGGTAGACTTGATGACCTCCCCTAATACAGGGTAAGCTCCTTGAGAGCAGGGACTATTTCTTTTTGTCGTTGTATTCCCAGTGCCTAGCATAGTGCCTGGCATACAGTAGGCACTTAATAAGTGCTTGTTGGATTTTATTGAATTGAAAGAACATTAGAAGTCATCACCTTCCAGATGAGGAACCCAAAAGTTAGAGAGAGATGAAATGACATGTGCACAGTCACATCCACTAGGAAGGAGCAGCGAGTGGGGCTCAGTAGAAGCCTACCCTCCTGATGCCCAGTCCACAATTGGTTCTCTGCAGATGCCTCCCCCTTCTCAGACTGTCAAGCTTTACCAGGTGCCGTATATGTCCATCATCTCATTTGTCCCTCACAACTCAGTGAGGGAGGTGTTACTATCATCTCCACTTTATAGATGAGAAAACTGAAGCTTAGTGTCTCGGGTCACACAGCTAGGAAGGAGTCAAGGTGGGATGAGAAGCCAGGTTTTCCAGCCTCCAAGGCCCAAACTCTAGCTGTTATAGAATACAATGACTATTATTGAATACTCAGTGTTATGCTGCAAGGTCCGAGGGGACCTGGCTTTGGAGAGGAGATATTAAATGCCTTCTTTCCCCCCTCCAGTGACACAATCCTCCTCCAAGCGCCCAGGCCCAGGACTGATTTATTTTGGTTTTTCACACATCCTTCTTAGCGGCTCAGTGGCTTGGTCCTGGAGCTCATATAGTCATACCCTCTCACAGTGTCCATTCTGGCCTGCTTTTTTTGTGAAATCTGCCTGAGAAGAGAGCCCAGCTTGGAAAAGAAAGGCAAGCTCCCTCCCTCTCTTCCCCCACTCTCCTGGACCCCTAGCTTCACAGTTTCTCTCCCCCAGGTGCATTCCTCAAGGAGCTGGGGATGTGCCAGGCTCCCTGTGGCTGTGGCAGCCAAAGAACGTTGAGCCAATGGGTGGATGTGAGAGGCTCAGGAAGCCCGGAAGAGTGGGGCAGGGCAGGGCAGCTCTGCCCAGCTCAGCTCTGGGGTTACCTTGGAAGCAGCCATCACTGCTGCTGTGGCCGCAACGTTCAGCCCCCGCTTCCCAAAGTGCACAAGGGCATCGTAGCTCCGGTCTTTGGCTTGGACCAGGCAGTCATCAATTTCCTGTCAAACAAAAAGCACATTGAGCTGGGTCTTACATCCTTTCCCCTCCCCCTTACCCCCTCTTCCAGGGCTGTGCCCTGCAGCTTGGAGGGGAGTCCTGGCTGGGGTAGGGGAAATTACGCTGGATCTGAAGCCAGATGATCTGGCTCTACTGCTCACTACCTGTCACCTAGCTTTGCTGGACCTCAGTTTCCTGCTCTGTAAAATAGATTTGCAGTTTGACGTGCAATCATTCATCTTTTTTTTATCGTACTGTGTTACGGAAATGCTTGTCTTGTTCTGTGCAGTGGATAGGACATAGGATTTAGGACGATCTAGTTCAATTCCTTTATTTTATTTTCAAATATCAAATGAGATAATACCTATAAAGCACTTAGCACAGTGCCTGGCACCCAGTAGGCACTATATAAATGTTTATTTCCTATGAAATGGGTAGAGTAGCTGCACCCAGCTCCCAGGATTGTTGTGAGGATCAAATCAGAGAGTATTTGTAATGCACTTTGCAGAACTTAAGGCCATATATAAATCCTAGCTAACTAGTACCCCTGGGTGTGACCAGGGATACTCTGAGCTCCATTTGCTGCCCTTAATCTGACAACTTAGCTCTGGACGAGAACACCGACACTAGTCCTGACTCCCTACTTGGGACTCCAGGCACAGAGGATGCTGGATTCGCCTCAGCCCCCTCCAAGAGGAAGCAGAATATGGGGGAAGGACCACGGGCCCGGAGTTTGTATCCTAGCTCGGCTGCTCCCTCCCTGGGGGATCTTGGGTAGGTGGTGCCCCTTTTACGGGCTCCAGGCTCCTCTACCATCACAGGACAGGGCAGGGTCCACGTAATCTCTAAGGTCCCCTTCCAGCTCCTGCGATACTCTGAGTGTTTCTGGGAGAGGAAGTCTCAGGAAGAGGAGAAGGGTTTACCACCCACCCAGAATAAGAGTTGGTCTTCGACTCCTAAAGTCCATCCCCCCATCATCTCTAGGTCCCCAGGCTCAGAGAGAACCATAGCAGTTTCCTCATCCCATCAGCGTTTCTTCACTGAGCGAGGTATTGGGGATACAAGGATGCCTGTCCTCAAGGAGTTTCCGTTTTAGAACAGTTCTTAATCTGTAATCCCTAGACCCTGACCACAGACAGATCTCAGGGGGTCCAAGAACTTGGACAGGAAAAGAAATGGCATCTTCATTTTCATTAGCCCATAACTGAAATGGAGCATCTCCTTCAATTATGATTTCTTTAAAAATGATTCTGAGAGATGGTATCCACCAGCCTCCCCTGACTCTGCAGATGAAGCACAGAAAGCTGTTGCCCAGATGTCCATTCAGGAAAATAAGTAATATGCAGCCCAGCTGGTTTTTGCTAATTTTATACAAATAAATTATGTTTGTTTTTTTCTAAAAAAAAAAAAAAAAGATTCTGAGAAAGGGTCCCCAGGCTTCACCAGATTGCCAAAGGGTTCCATGACACAGGAAGATAAAGAATCTTTGTTCTAGACACTGGCAACCTACAAAGGTAACAGGCATGCTTTTGTTCATTTAAGAGTTAAAGAATCTTCTTCTACCTCCTGCTAGTAACTAGCATTTATATAGTGCTTTAGGTTTGCAAACCTCTTCACAAATATCTCATTTGATCCTCACAACAACTCTGGGAGGGAGATGCTATTGTTATCCTCATTTTTTAGGTGAGGAAACTGAGGCTAAGAGAGGTGAAGTGACTTGCCCAGGATCACACAGCTAGTAAGTGTTTGAGGCCAGATTGGAACTCATGAAGAGGCATCTTCCTTACAAGCCAGCGCTGTATGTACTATGGCGCCAACTAACGGCCCCACAGTCAGAGGACCTGAGTTCAAATCTCACCTCTGATGTTTTCTACTTAAGTAACCATGGGCACGTCTGTTGACCTCCTTGAGCTTGTGACTTCATCTCTAAACGGGAGGACATGGAGTAGAGGACCACCAAGGTCCTTTATAGCTCAAAGTCTATGATGTCCAAGGCTGTTAGTTCAAAAGAAGTCGGAAGAACCCCCAAACTGGGGAGGAGAGAGGGAGGCTGGGCAGAGCAAAAGGAGGGGCAGCCGCCTTGAGGGGGTGGGCTGGCGGTCAGAGAAGCTCCCACAGGACCCTTCCGCTACGATAGAAGCATTTCTCCAGTGCATCTAGTTCTCCTCTCCGCCCCCTCCCCACTGCCTCACCCTGTGACTCCTACAAGAAGGAAAACCAAGGGGTAGGAAGGGCGGAGGAGCACAATTACCTTTTCTTTTGATGACAGCGTAGGATGCACAAACTTCCTGTAGAGGAGGCTGGAGCCCTTTGTGTAAGGAGACAGCAACCAGGCCACGAAGGCTATTTTTAGTTCATAATAGAAGGGGAACCTGGAGATGGTTAAGAAAACAGACATTCTGTTAAGGGGCCCGCCTCCAGCCTCTGCCATCCTGCCCCTCTCCCAGGGCAGGGGGTGCTCCCAGGCATAGATTCCTCGGCCGTGCCCCATGCAGACACAAGGAAACTCTCCAGACTGCCTCTCTCCCTCTCCTGGCACCCCAGACTTCTCTTTTCCCTTCAGATTCCTCGGAAATGCTTTGCAACCAAAACCCAAGACACCTTCCTGCATGGTTATTCCCCCATTGCCTCCCTGGTAGCTCGGGTTTCCCAGATGAAAACCTGGCTCCAAACTACCTTCTCGGCCTCATTTCCCACGACTTCCCCATCAGCTTCTCTATGCCCATTAAAACTGGGCTAGTAGCTATTTCTGGGACACAATGTTCCATCCCCTGCCTTCCCGAATTCACTCAAGTCTTTCTCCTGTTCCCTCATCAAGACTGGTCTTCATCCAATACATCTTCAAGTCCTCCTTCCTCTGAATGCTGATCTTCCTTCAAGGTCTGGCCACCTCCTCCAGGAAGCTTCCCTGACCCCCACCCCCTGAGTGTTCATGCTTTCATCCTCCTTTAATGACCTGGAGTTTCTGTTGCATCATCCCAATGGAATGGGAGTTTATCCTGGAAGCTGGGCTTCTCCCCATTCTGATCCATCCTCCTCCTCTGCCAAAGTATGGATCTGACCATGACCCTTATGGACCACAAACTGAGCCCAGCTCCCCCCATCTTGTGAGCTGAGCAGGACTGCCTCCATCTTGTGTTGAGCATTGGCTGGCCAACTGAAGGACCTTCTGACCTCACTTCCCCCTCCAGAGACCCCCCCCTCAAGAATATCCTGTGGGGGTCTCTGTAGAGTCTGTTCAGGGATGGTTCAAGGGTGCTCGGCATCTCATCCACTCAGCCAGCTCTTGTCACATCCCCAATCTCCTCTCCCCCTTCTTTGTGATCTGAGCACACAGAAGCTTTGTCCTTTTGTGCCTTTTCAGAGTCTCCACCGTGTGGGTAGGGCTTCCTTGCTGGCAAACTCAATACACCCCAAGACCAGTTAGATACTCTGGGGTCTCCTTACTCCTGCATCACCCACCCTCTCCTACTGAATAAACATCAATGGCTCCCTATTGCTCCCAGGATAACTCTTCTGTTCATCTTTTAAAGGTCTTTACAACCCGATTCTAGTTTACTTTCCAGTCTCATTATACATCATCCCCCTTCCTGCAGCCTGGTGGTACAGTGGAGAGAGCTCTGGGCCCATAATCAGGATAACCAGAGTTTAAATCTGGTCTCCAGCACTTACTAGCTGTGTGACCCTGGGCAAGTCACTTCACTTTTGTCCGCCTCAGTTTCCTCAGTTCTAAAATTGTTGTCATTTGGTCGTGTCTGACTCTGTGTGACTGCATGGACTTGGTCCATGGTTTTCTTGGCAAAGCTACTTGAATGATTTAACCCTTCCTTCTCCAGCATGTCCCTATTTTACAGACGAAGAACTGAGGCAAACGGGTTAGATGACTGGCCCAAGGTCACGCAGCTAGCAAGTGTCTGAAGCCCGATTTGAACTCAGATCTTCCTGCTTCCAGGCCTGATGTGATAATCCCTGCACCATCTAGCTTCCCAATTCTAAAATGGGGACAATCATGGCTCCTATTTCCAAGGCTGTTGTGAGATCAAATGAGAAAATATTTGTAAAGCACATAGCCCAGTGCCTGGCACCTAGAAGGTGCTTAATAAATGCTTGTTTCCTTCCTTCCTCTACTCTACAGCCTGCCAGACTGGCCTCCTCTTTTCTTCCCACACTGCACTGAGTTCCCACCTCTAGGCCTTTGCAATGGCCATCCATCCCTCATGCCTGGAACATATTGCCTCCTCACCTCGGTCTCACAGAATCCCCCATTTCCCTCACAACTCAGCTCAAGCACCCCCTTCTTCCCAGACTTTGGGGATCCCCCAGCACCAGCGCCCCTCTCTCCACCTGCTTGGAGTTCTGCTTCCTCGTATTGATTTTGTGCTTATTCTGTCTAGATTTATGTTGTGTACACTGGTACACGCACACATTCTCCCCCATAGTATGGCAACTCCTCAAGAGCTCGGACTGGTTCGTTCGGGGTGTGGAATCCTGTCCCTCACACATGGTTCGGGGTAACACCGGTAAAGTGCTCTCTAACCCGGAGAGCACTAGGCAAGTGTGAGTCATACGGTTGTTGTCATTCAGTCATTTCAGTCACACCTGACTCCTCTTGACCCCTTTTGGAGGGTTTTCTTGGCAAAGATACTGGAGAGGTTTGCCATTTCCTTCTCCAGCTCATTTATAGATGAGGAAACTGAGGCAAACAGGGTAAAGTGACTTGCCTAGGGTCACACTGCTAGTAAGTGTAATTCAGTAGGTGCTTAATAAATGCTTGTCAAGTGATTGAACTTTGCTTTCATATTCCTAATGCCTTGTACGTAGAGAGCACTTAATTAAATTGAGGCAGCATGGAATAATGGAAAGACGGGTTCCAATTCCAGGCTCTACCACTCACTACCCGTGTTAGCCTCTCTGAGCCTCGATTTCCTCATCTATGAAATGGAGTTAGTCTAGGCAGCTTCCAAGGTCCTTCCCAGCGCCAAAGCCATGATTGTGTGAATGGGACCCATCTTCACTTACTTGTGTTAGAACTGACAACTCTCAACACTATTTGTTGTGGCCTGTAACCAGAAACCACATATCCACACACATACAAACTCACACGCACAACACAACACACTCAAGTACACACACTCACAACATATACATACTCATATACACTACCATTCAGACACTACACACACAACACACATACATACACTCACAAATATACAAGACATAGACATACACACACACTCAAACACACACAACACTTACACTCATACACGCTCATATACACACTCACATACAACACATACATCCTTACACACCCACATACGCACAACATACACATATTTACATATAACACACACATACTACACACTCACATACTCACAAACACACAACAAATATATACTTATACACCCTACACACACAACACACACTGATACATTACACACACCACATATATGCTCACATTGCACACACACACACACACACACACACACACACACCCTTCTTTTCTCTCTCTTCAAGGTCACCAAGGATGCCCTGCCAAGGATGAAATTCTGGCTTGGAAACAAAGCCCTCCTCCCCACAGCCTCCTCATCTACCCTGCCACAAAAGAGATGTTGAGGTCGGGAGATGTGAGCTCTGCAGAAACCAGTTTGCCTCCTTGTAGGCCTCCAGGCACTCCCAGGCCAGTTGTTCCAGACATCTGCCTATTCTTTCTGCAAAGTCCAGGCCACGGGAGAGAAGTGTGGGCAGACACCAGCTGACCCGAACAGTCACAGCCGCAAAGGGTAGTTTCCAGGGACGAGGTGACAAAGAATCTGAGCATTCCAAGGCCAGTACATCCCTCAGCCCTTTGGCCTGAGCGTATGCTGCCAAAGGCTTCTCCCCAGGCCTCCCACCTCCAAGAAACCAGATGGCCAAGGATGGACTTTCCTGGCCCTGTTAACTCCCAGACACCCTCTTACGGATAGCCAAATGAACAACAGAGCAGTTCCCCACTCCCTTTTCCTAGCAAGGTCAGAGCTAGAACAATCCTTGGAGGTCAGCTAATTCTACCACCTCCATCCCCCCATTTTATAGACAAGAAAACCGAGGCCCAGGGAAATTAAGTGATCCCCTGTAAGTGAGAGAGATAGGATTTGAACCCTGGCCTGCTAACTTTAAACCTGGTGCTCTCTCCAGAAAGACTATGAATCATTGCTCCAAATGTTCGACTGGTTTTCAAAAATACTCTGAGATTCCACTACCTCCTTACATTCTGACCAGGTCCCCCAACTCCAGTGCTCCGCACACTCACTCTGCGGGAATGAGGAAGCTTTATTTTTAATGATGAGACATTTCTAGCACCACTAAGAGGCAACAAATGTCAGTTCCCCAAAGGACATCTAGAACAAATGCTGGAGAGGCTGAGGAAAAATAAGCACCTTCATACCCTGTTGGTGGAGCTGGAAATTGGTTCATCCATTTCTGGAAAGCTATTTGGAATTACGAAGGAAGGAATGATAGAAATAAGCATTTATTAAGCACCTATGTGCCAGGCACTGTGCTAAGTGCCTGCCAAATATTATCTCATTTGATCCTCATGACAACCTTGGAAGGTAGGTTGCTATTATGATCCCCATTTCAGAATTGAGGAAACTGAGATAGACAGAGATCAAGTGACTTGCCCAGGAACACTCAGCTTGCGTTTGATTTAAACTTGAGTTTTCCGAACTCCAGACTCAGCCCTCTATTGCCTGCTGCCTCTCCCTCAACAGTTACTAAACTATGCATATAGTCTGGCCTAGTGATACCCTGATAGGCAGATGTCCCAAAGACATCAAAGAAAGAGGAAATGGGTCTATATGTACAAAAATATTTCTAGCAGCTCTTTCTGCAGTAGCAAAAAACAGGAAACTAAGGGAGTGCCCGGCAACGGGGAATGGCTGAACATTATGGTGTAGGAATATGAAGACATATTACTGTGCTATAAGAAATGACACAAAGCAGAGAGAAGTAAGCAGAACCAAGAGAACAATGTCTATCATAACAACAACAGGGTAAAGACAAACAACTTTGAAAGCCTTAAGAACGCTGATCAGTACAGTGACCAGTCCTGATTGCCAAAGACGGGAGAGGGAGCCAGCTCCCACCTCCTGACTGACAGGAGATGGTCTTGGGGGCACACTGAGACACAGGCTTTTTGGTCATGGTCAGTGAAGGGATCTGTTTTCTCTGAGTGTATGTTAGTTAAAAGGCTTTTTAAAAAATTATTTATTTTGTTTATTTTTCTTGTTTATTTATTGTTTTATTGTATATTTGTTACAAAGGTTTTGGTTTTTTTTCTGCAATGGGAGATAAGGGGAGCTGGGAGGACTAGAAAGTCAGCTTTTGTTCACTGAAAAAGAAATTTAATTTAAAAAAAGGACATTTCTCCTGTTCCATCCTCTCCCACCTCAAGTGTGGTGAAGACTTCAGGCAGATCTGATTCTGTCCTGGTTTTCAGAGCTTAGGAAAATGCCAGTGTTTCCCCAGCCCACTCGGAAGCTCAATCCAGCCCTTGGGTGGAGGTGGGGAAAGGATCCAAGGCCTCAGATCTGGGCTCCACCAGCCTTCCTCGAGCCCCTGCAGACCCTCTGGGGGAACCCTAGGCTCAGAGCCCTGGAACAGACTTGTAACTAAAGTAGCCAGGTTGAGATTCCTGCTTGGCTTGGCGTATTTTCCCCAGCACTGAGTGGAGAGTGAGACATGGCAGCTGGACCAGAATGCACCACTGTGGTCCACAAACCCAGAAGTTCCCAGGCTGACCCTGGCTTACTCCCAGCCATCCTGAGAGTTGGTGCTTTGCTGATAAGACACTGGGGAACAATTCAGACATCAGACTAGGCACAAGCCACCAGGCTGACTACAGGGAATGCTCAGGATAAGGGAGAAAGGGTCTGCAGCCTTTTCATCCTTGACCCTTTCAGTAAACAATGAAGAGAGAGCACTATATTTGGAACCAGAGGACCTGGCTTGAATCTTAGACCCACCATTTACTACCTGAGTGACCTTAAGCAAGTCACTTTCCCTCTATGGGCCTCAATTTCCTCATCTGTAAAATGGGCAGGGGGTATTCAAACTCTTAACCTATAATTCTAATGAAGAGAAGAGATAGGAAACTTAGCTTAGTTTTCTTGTGTTTAAAATAGAGACGACACCGGATTTGTCATCTTTGAATACACCGAACCATAGGTTTAGAACTGGAAGGACCTTAGAGTTCACCTACTCTAGTCGCCTCGTTTTACAGATGAAGAAAGTGAGGCACAGAGGTGAAATAAGATAGTGCCTAGCAGTTCAAAGAACATTTCCCCTGTTCTTTGATTCTCTGACTGCTTTGACATGAACTTTGATTTTCCTTTCTCCCTTTTACTAAGTTTTATTGATGCATTTTGTCTTTATAACTTGTAATTTCTGGAGAGAAAAACCCTCCTCCCCAACTCAGGATTAAATTGTTCCTTACAACAAAAAGTAGCGAAGACATTCGATACTCTGAGCGCATCTGAAAATGTATGCAGCATTCTGTCCTGGTAGACCTCCTCCTCTCTGACACAGAGGAGAGAAGGGCTGACATCTCTATGTTCCCAAGTAGGACTGCATCATAAGGAAATGAAGAACCTTGGTAGAAATAGACCATCTTGGAAACAACTGCAATTGTGTGAAGCCAGAATCACAAATTTGAATTTTGCTGTTTCTCAGCCCAGAGCACCCGGGAAGGACTTCACACAGATGATGCCGAGTAAGAGATGATGTATTGTAATGCATGGTTGAGGGCATTGGACACGGACCCAAGAAGGTCTGGGTTCAAAGTCCACCTCAAACATGTACTACCTATATGACCTTGAGTCACAAGGTCAAACTGGTGCCTCAGTTTCTCCCCCTGTAAAATGATGGGATTAGGCCAGATGGACTCTGAGGTCCTTTACGTTTCCCAGCCCATAATCCTATGTTTGGTCCAATGTCCTCCTTTCCCCTCTCCCAAACTCCCCACCAGCATGATAAGTATTTGCTTCTGGCATTACCAAAAAAAATATTCCTAGTCACCACCCATTCCCTCACTCCCGTCATCACTCACCAGCAAAGAAAGATATCCGTGAATGTCTCTGCTGTTGTAAAAAGTGCAAATATAATCCAGTACATCATCCATTTTACCTGTCGGGAGAGAAAACAACCAGCCTGATGAGAAGAGGGCGGAAGGGCTTATCTGACCTCCCACGGCATCAGGCCAGCCACCAGCTCAAACAGTCTTCCAGGTTAAGGTGGGCAATCCCTCCCCATCCCTCAGACTCCTCTCCAAAGGCCCATCTTGTTCTGTCCTGGTTTTCACAGCCTGGAAAAAAAGCCAGTGTGTCTGCATAGTCCGCTCGGAAACCTCAAGTCCAGCCCTCGGGTGGAGGCCAGGGAGAATCAAAGATCTAGGCCTTCAGGCCTGGGCTTGACCACTTTCCTAAAGCCCCTGCAGACTCCCTAGAGGAACCCTAGGCCCAGAGCCCTGGAACTGAGCTACGGTCAAAGTAACCAGGTCGAGCTGCTGACCGGTACATTGACCTCACTGCAGGGACCCTTGTGGATGAATCTGGGTTACTTCCCTTCTCTCAGATGCTGGACCTTGCTTCCCAATCTCTCACACCCAATCCCTTTTATTCATGCTCATAAATCAGGCCCTTTACCTTAGAGCAACCTTCTGCAAAGGAATTCCAAGATTTTCACTGCCTTAGAGGGGAAGGGTCCTGAAATATTGCAATAGACTCTTTACTGGTCTTCCTTCCTCCTGTCTCACCCCACTGTCCAGATACATCTTACACGTGGCTATTGATTGTAGAAGATGGTATCTGGAAGAAGACCTGAGTCTCCATATCACTTCTGATGCTTTCTATAGAATCACAGTCACATAATTTAACCTTTCAGAACCTGTTTCCTCATCTGCAAAAAGAGGATACTACCTAATAACATGTCACTCAAAAGAGTTACTGAATGGACCAACTGTTTTAAGCTCTCATGACTATGAGAAGCAACATGGTGTAGGAGAGGGTATTGAACTTGGAGCCAGAAGGACCTGAGTTCAAATCTTGCAGCTGCCACTTACTAAACTTATGACTTACCAGCTCTGTGACCCTAAGCAAGTCACTTAACTTCTCTAGGCTTCAGTTTCCTCATCTGTAAAATGAGGATAATAATTATTCCTGCCTCACAGGGTTGTTGTGAGGAACAAATGAATTAATGTGTTTGCAAACCTTAAAGTGCTATATAAATGTTACTGAGTATTGTAATTGCATCACTTCTCTATTTAGAAATCTTCAATGGCGTTAAGTAGTCTTTAGGATAAAATTTAAATGCCTTAGTTGGGCATTTGATGCCTTCCACAATGCAGCCCCGGTCTATTTTTCTAGTTTTATCCCCTGTAGTGAGGTGGTATAATTCAAATTCAGCATCAAACACTTACTAGCTGTATGACCCTGGACAAGTCACTTACCTTCCATCTACCTCAGTTTCCTCATCTATAAAATGGGACAATAAGAGCACCTACCTTGCAGAGCTGTTGTGTGCATCAAATGAGAATATATTTGTAAATCTTAAAGCGCTAAATGAATGCTACTATTATCATCATTATTACTATTCCCTTCAGAAGCATTATGTTATAGTGGATAAAGCTCTGGGCTTGGAGTCAGAAAAATATGGATTCAAATCCTGTCTCAGATACTTACAGGTTGTGTGAAAGTCACTTAGCTTTTCTGGGCCTCAATTTCCTCATCTGTAAAGTCAGGGGTTTAGGACCTCTAAGGTCCAGCTGTAAATCAGACATTAATATAGAAATTCTGTGTTTCATGAAGCCATACTATTTGCTACTCCCTTCTTCATGACTCATTTCCTTGCCTCTGATCATGCCATCCCTCTTACCAGGTATGCCCCAATTTACATTGCCACTAATTAAAACCCATCCTTTAACACCCTACTTCAAAGTTAATTTCTTCATGAAGCCTTCCCTGATAAACTAGAAGGACCTTGTTTCTCTTTCGAATTCCAATGGCTCTCCATGTGGTGGGAAGAATAATTTGAGGAAATGGACCTCAGGTATGGTTGCTGCCTTGTTTTAATTCTTGGGATATACCTTGAGTTCTCTGCTAAGTAAATGTCCCTTTCACATTATTATCATGTGTGTGGAATTGGCTGGTGGAAATCCAGAAGGAAAATGCCAGATTGTGAGCAAAGAAATACGGTCCCGCACAGATACTAGCTACCTATCAGAAGCTTTTGGGGCGCTGCATTTGCCTTTCCCATCTGCCCTTAGGGGAGGGGGAAGCTTTTACAGATGTCTTTCACTTTTCTATCACACTGATTTCCAAATGCATCCCCACTCTCCCCATTGGCAAACCTTCCATTGTAACATAATTTTTTTAAAAACTTAAAACAATAGTTCAGTTAAACCAACAAAGCATCAATGGTGCCTGACAGTATATGCAAAATTCCATGCTCACTCCTCTAATCACTCAATAAACAGATATTAAGTTGCTGCTATGTGCCAAGCACTGTGCCAAGTGTTCAGGATACAAAAAGAGGCAAAAGACAGTCCCTGCCCTCAAGGAGCTCACAATCTAATGGGAGAGACAACACGCAAATGAATATATACAAAGCAGCTCTACGTGGGATAAATCAGAAATAATTAACAGAAGGAAGGCACTAGAATTAAACAGGGTTGGGGAAGGAGGGAAAAGAATCCTCTCTCCTCCAGGGCCAAGCTTGGTCATTATAATCACACAGCATTCAGTTTTGTCATATTGACTTTTTTCCCCCTTTCACATTGTCATAGGATTTGTGGGTGGTATTTTTCTAGTTTTGCTTACTTCATTCTGCCTCAGTTCACATAACTCTTCCAGGTTTCTCAGAATTTTTCATATTCATCATATCTCACAGCATGGTAATATTCCAATCAATCAACATGAATTTATTAAGTGCTTACTACATACCAGGCACTTTGCTAAGCCCTGGAGATACAAGGAAAAAGCAAAACCAGTCCCTGCCTTCAGGTGATTCTAATGGGGGAGAAAACATGTATATAAGTAGGCAGATACAAGAAGCATGCAAAGGAGAAGCCAGATAATGTCAGAAGAGAAAGCCCTGGCCTAGCCATTGGGAGAAGGGCCGGGAAAGACCTCCCATAGAAGGGGGGAATCAGAGAGGAGTCAGGAAGGGCTGTGTTACCTTGACAAACCACAGTTAGTTTTACTGCTCCCCAAATGATAGGCACTCATCTTGTTTCTAGCCCCTTGCTACCACAGGAGACTGGTTATTCTTATTTGGATATATGTGGAGAATTTCTTCTGCCTCTGACCTTTTTCAGGTACAGACACTTTAACCACTTTTTTTTTTTCAGCCCAAAGACACTTTGGGCTACTTTGAATGATAGGTATTGGTGTTCTTGTTTTTGTCCTCCTACAGACTGTTAATTCCTTGAAAGAAGAGACTGTCTCATTTTTTTCTTCACTGCTATAGCACCAAGCCTAAGGCCTCCCATGACCAGCAGCTGCTGCATCTGGAGTCACAAAGACCTGGATTCCAATTCTGTCTCTTACTAGCTGTATGACTATGGGCAGGTCACTTAATTAACCTCTCTGAGGCTAGTTCCTCACCAATAAAATGGAGTCATCTAGGTGGCTCAGTGGACAGAAAACTGGGCGTGGAGTCAGGAAGACTTGAGTTCAAATCAGACTCCAGACACTTATTAGCTGTGTGACTCTGGGCAAGTCACTTCACCCTCAGGTCCTCCTGACTCCAGGGCCGGCACTCTATCCACTGCACCATTTAGCTGCCCATAAGGAGCAGGGAGTCCCCCTGTTGCCCTGGTCCAGATTTACCCAGGCGGCAGCCATCCCAGGACCACACAAAGACAGAGCCAGAACACCTGGCCAAGGACCTTGGACTTTATCTTATAGAACAGGAGCCTCAGTTTCCTCATCTGTAAAATAAGCTGGAGGAAGAAATGGCAAACCACTCCAGCATCTCTGCCAAGAAAACTCCAAATGGGGTCGTGGGGAGTTGGACACAAATGAACAACAACAACAACAAAAAAGTAAGAAGAAGAGTGGGAGCTTGGTAGGTAGCTGTTGTGAGGATAAATGAGCATCCAGGAAATTACTCAGCATTAGGCTGAGTACCAAGACCATTCCTTCCCAGGAAGGATGAGGCCCTTTGGGGAAAGTCAGGAGATGTGGACACTGAAAACACCAAGGACAGCGTCATCTCGGCAGACACGGCAGACGGCATCGCTAACGAAGGGTGACTTAGCTAGAAATGGCCCAGATGTCAGCCTGAATGAAGAGGCCATAATTTAATAGGCCTTCGTGTCCCCAATTACTGACTCACTCGAACGGTGGCTCCGGGCGAGAGTCACACGCCTATTATCGATGCGTGCGGCTGATGGCGAGGGACCGGCTCGTTCGTTAGCCATCAGCCCAGGGAATGGATGAGGCTAGGGTATTGGGGGAGAGATATAGGGGGTGGGGCCGGGAGGGGGAGAGACCGGCCAATGAGGACGCAGGTCTAAGGAGCAGGGATTATTGTTTGGTCCTGTCCAACTCTTCCTGACCCTGTTTGGGGTTTTCTTGGCAAAGATGCTGGAGTGGTTTGCCATTTCCTTCTCCAGCTCATTTAGCAGGTGAGGAAACTGAGGCAAACAGGGTGAAGTGACTTCCCCAGGGTCACACAGATAGTAAATGTCTGAGGCCAAATTTGAACTCAGGTCGTCCTGACTCCAGGACTGGCACTCTATCCACTGCACCACTTAGCTCCATAAGGAGTAGGGAGTCCCCCTGTTGCACCCGCCCAGATTTACCCAGGTGACAGCCATCCTAGGATCATACAAAGACAGAGCCACAACGCCTGGCCAAAGACCTTGAACTTTATCCTATAGACCAGGGCTTCTTAAGCTGAAGCCTTCAAACTTATTCTTAAAAATATTTTGTTAACTGTATTTCAGTACAATTTGTTTCCTTTGTAATCCTACGTATTTATTTATATATTTAAAGT